GGGCTGCCAGGAAGGCCAACCAGAGCCACATCGTTTATGTGAGCGGTTGGCGGCAGCCCTACGTCCACCACTCGTTGGAGGGCGGTGGGTGGACGGCACTTCCCGGGGTGCCATGCCAGCAGCTGGGGGACTCGGGATCTGAACTGTGGCATGTGTGCATGAAGTTCCATGAGGTATGAACGGAGGAACATAATTGGCTCACGCTTCTTGCCCATCTTGTGTCTTCTTTTGACGATTTCAGGGCCTACAGTTCGTCCCGACGGATGGCACCGGTTCTTGGGATCACCCTTCTGTCACGGACTGCGGTAAGCGGTCATCATGAAGAGTGATGCAGTGAGATGGGTTTGTTGATTTATTTTCTGTCTCTTCCAGGTCCAAATTATCATGTCCCAAGGGCCGGTGTCTTTCTTCTGTGCAATGGAGAGCTGCGGCAGTTGAGGTCCGTGTCGTCAAGCAGCGGTGTCATCCATATCATTGTGAAGGAATATCGATGCATCGGTGAGACACAAGTGCAATTTGGTTGACGAGTCGCTGCATTCTTTGATGGATCTTTTGCTCTTCAGCTGCGAGGGCGGCGAGATTTGAGAACAGCCATGCTCCCACATTGTCAGCTTCGTGGCCTTCACCCCCGCCCCAAAGCCAGAGCAAGGACCTCCGCCCCATCACACCCGCCCCGCCAGCCGTGCCCAACACCCTGCGGCAGACGTCCACCAACACCAGGAGAGGGCAGCCGACCGCACTGTCGGCTCTGCCACCCCCGCCCTCATCCGCTTCTCTGACTGCTGGCAAGAAATTGCCAGCGACGCCCAGCGGGGGCGGTCTGGTTTCCTCTGGAGGGCCAGCTGCAGCAGCTGCGGCTGCTGCTGGTGTGGCCAATCCGGTCACACCCCCACAGCCCTTCTCGCACGACTTCCCCAAGCTTGCTGGGCAGCCGGGCTCGCGTATGGGTGGTTTCCCTCTTCCTCTCCCTCTCCCTCTCCCTCTCCCCTCGTCCATGTCAATGGCAGCATCGTCTGCTGCAGCCCCGCCACCCCCGGACAGCTCCCCGTCGCTCGGCTTGATGAAGCGTCCCCCACCGCCTCCTGGCCCGCCCCCACAGGAGGCCATGTCATCGATGCCGCC